TGACTCTATAGCCCAGTGGTTAGAACACTCACCTGTATAACAGCAGACCCTGGGTTTCGTTCCTCTGCTCCAAAGATTTTCATTACTTAGCCACAGTGGAACAATTTCATCAGAAGAGAGAGAGGAAATACCCCACCCCCAATAAAAACTGCAAGTACTTCAGTGGTTACAGCACCTCCTAAGTGATGAGAGACCCCTCTCCTACCTGAGAGATGGAAGGAATTAAATCAGGGTCTCCTCCTACCCAGGTCTGTGCTCTAATGACAGGAGTAAAAGTTATAAACAGGCTTGCATGGATTAGACTTTTATTTTATGTATGTTGGTAAAGTTGATTTCACCACACATGATGAAAAAAAATATTTCCATCAATCAAAATGTTCAAATGAGAAGAAAAAAAAAGATTGCCTGAGCAGATGGTCCCTGGCTTTGTTTGTGAGTCTACCCTGATCACCTAAGCTGACCTCTTGAACATTACAGGCCACAGAATCTCACACACCCACATCTATAAATAGACCCGTAAACTCTGGCTGAGTTACCAAAGGCCTCAAATCACGATTTACAGAATTTCAAGTTATAGAAAATCTACCATTTACACTAATTTAAACTTGCAAGGCAAAAAAAAAGTCTATGCCAATCTGAAAATGTATTAGAATCAAAACACAGTGATTTAGACTTTTGAATTAGGCTTGCAACTAAATAGCAGAAGCAGGTATATTAATTTAAAGATCTTCACTTAGTATATTTTGACATGGGATGCTGACAATTGTGTTTTAGCAGTTATTCAAAAAGTTATAGCTTTATCTCAACAGCTCTCATTAAATAATTGTCTTACTCCCCTCCATGATTTCCCACAAGTGTGAAAATGTAAAACTATTTTTAAAAATGAAAAAAAAAAAGCCCAGTTTTGCAAGGGCTAGTTATAAGGTCACTGGCTTTATTACCATACAATATTGCCAGGTGTGTGGTTTTCAACTGGAATGCCTGGTCGGCAACTCAAATGAGCACCACCGACACTAGGCAGTCAAAAGTCCTTTTGATGGCACGGCAGGGACATGGGGCGAAAGCAGGCTCCCTAACAAGCTTGTGTCTGAGACACTCCCAGAAGCAACCACCAGGTTTCTGCAGCCCTCAGGTGACTATATGGATGCTTCCTGGACCTGAGCTGGGCGCTAAGAGCATGTGCAGTAACTGTGGTGCAGGGTATGTGTGCTGCTGAAATGGAGGGAGAGGGAGAAAAATGCACCAGCCCCCAAACCTCGTTGTCAGCAAGGAGAGAATGGTAAGAGTGCTCTGACCCTTGGCCCAGGCAGCCTGTCTGCATCCCTAGATCTTCATCCCCAGCCCTACCCCACCCCAGAGCATGTACTGCCAGCCAGAGCCCTCACTCCACTGCATGCTAGATCTCAGACCTAGCCTGGAGCCCTCCCTTGCACCATAATTTCTCATCCCCAGCCCCACCTCAGAACCCTCATGGGGGGAAAGGGGCGGAATCCACAACTTAAATACAGTGGTCAGTTTTGGGGATGATCATGTTTAACACAATACTTGATCATTTTATACCCTTTTAAGTGGTTATATATGGCCACCACAAAACATAACACATTCAAGCAGGCAAGTGCTGCTTCTAAGGGTACATCTAGACTACATGCCTCTGGTGACAGAGGCATGTAGATTAGGCTACCCGGCATAGGAAAATGAAGTGGTGATTTAAATAATCACAGCTTCATTTAAATGTAAATGGCTGCTGCGGTAAACCTCATCCCAGGAGGTCGACAAATGCCTTTGATGTCTACCGCGGAGCATCCAGACTACTGCGCTGAGCCAACAAACAGCTGATCGGCTCAGCGCGGTAGCTTCATTTTCCTATGCCGGGTAGCCTAATCTACATGCCTCTGTCACCACTTTTAATTGGCCTTTGTAATCTGGTGGCATCAATGCTCTGTAGCTTCATTTTATCCCAGCAATGAATTCTTGATTTGTAGGACCAGTAATAATCAACATGAAGTTATACAAAAGAAAGATGCACCAAATTTTCTAGATAAAAGAAGTTTTCCACAGTCTTAGCTATCAAGATTTACTTGGTTGGAGTATAATAGCAAATTAGAACTTTCTGCTCTGTCAGCGAAAACTGTTCATAGAAAATATTAAGTTTGTTTTCCAGAAGGCTAAACCAACATTAATTTCATCTGGATTTCAAAATTGTAGATAACCATTATGTGATTTTACATCACACAAAAAATCCTCCTGTCACAAGGAAGCTGTAATAAAGTATGCTGCTCTGCAATCACAGGTAGATGTGTCTGCACTAATGTTGGACAGTTACAGAAAAGAATCAAAATCAGCCAGCAATGTACAGCACGAAATTTTTACCAGTGTTCAGTACATAGCTCAACAAGGAATAACATTACGTGTATTCAGAATGATTCAAATCAGATGCAGCTCTTCATGGGCAGCTAGTAATATAGACAAGGGAACACATTGCTATTTATTATTTCTATAGCACGTTCAGTGTGTGTGGCACTATATAATCAGTCACAAAGAAGTCCCTTCTTGAAAAGCTTGCATTCAACAGGCTCCTGCAAAAGCATCCATGGATCTGTTTATTTGGGTGGGTACCTCAGCCCCCTATAGCTCCAATTCACAAACCCCATTACAGGAAACAATCTAGATGGGCTCTATAGCCACCCTATATTAACTGCCCATCTCTACTCCCTCCAGTCCAACGAATGAAACTGAACTAATATGAAAGCATCTGAAGACCACCATAGCCATGCAGAGGTAGCTGATTTAGCTCTGAAGACACATTAGGAATACTAATAGTAATAGTAGTGTTAGAGAAGCACATGGAGACACCCCAGTAGAAATTGGGGCCCATAACAAGCCGCCTTTACAGAAACACTTAATCTAAATAGGTTTAAAAAAATGGTGTAAGAAAGGAAGAATTATTATTTTGGAGACAGGAAAGTGGGGTACAGACAGATATAATAGGACTCTGGCTGAGCCAGGAATTTAACCCAGATCCCAGTCCAGTGCTTTAGCTTCTTTTGATTATTTCTGCTCAACTTACATTCTCAGGCTAAGTTAATTGAAATCTAAAGTAAAACTCCAGCTCACCAGTCTATCATTTGAAACCTCCCATTATTCAATTAAGCTAACTTTGACAGCTTTTATACAAAGAGAAAAAACAGATCATAAATATAGAGATGTAGGACCAAATTCAGATTTAGTGGTAGGTGCTAAATCTATGGAATTCAAGATGCATACTCACCCTTTTGAAAAGCTTATTTATATGCCTAATTGTGGAGTTAGGAGCTTAACTTCAGGAGCCCATTTAAAAAAAATCTTGGTCTACATTTCTACCTCACAATGTTTTCAGCCTTGCAAACAGTCAACCCTGGCTAATCTTACCCTTCTTATCTTATCATAATAAGGCACACCACATAGAAACTACCTAGCGATTGAAAAAAGGCAACACTAACTGAAAACAATGGGTAAAATCTCCTATTCAGAGAAAAGCCTTGGATTTCATCAGGGTGACAGAGAGTATAAATCAATTCTGAATTTACCCCAATGTGTTTAACCAACTGCCCTACAATATGGCATACAAGTCCACTTAACTCAGGTGTTTCATTTTAAATGACCTTTGTCTTCCTTTTAAAGTATAAGTACTTATATAAGATGCCAAAGGGCAAAACCTGGAAAACAGGTGCAGCACTCAAGGCAGCCTCCCCTACACTGTGTCCCCAGCACCTCAAACCCGTCCTGGAAACAACCTACGTCTAAGGATCACCAGCTATTTCTGTTCAGTGCTCAGCTGCAGCTTTGACTGACAACAATAACTGGTGTTGTTGGTTATGGGATACATACACCTGTCTACTAGGAACTGGGCTGAGGCCACCCAGCTATTTCATCTAGGTTAGTTTTACACATAACTGACCTGGGAGGAATTCAAAACAGATATTTCTCTCAGTGAAGGCCTCTACTTTGGTTTTGGAAAGCTGCCCAAAGTCAATCTGGAATGTGCCCGAGATTATCAAAGCTGTCAGGGGTGTGGATCGTTTCCTTACAGCCCGTATCAAGCATGCATGCCATCCTCCCCTCGACAAAAATCCACTTTCAGCCAACACCCTTCTGCTCTGACAGGGGACGTGACAGATCTGCTTCGCGCTCCACGGGGGGAGAGAGGCCCGGCAGCAAAGCCCTCAAAGCACCCAGACCCCCCCCCGAATACACACGTGCTGCTCACCCAGGCACTGCTGGGTCCCAGGAGCTTCGCCCAAATCCTCCCGCGTGGGGCAGCAACATCTAGCTCCTGCCCACAGGCCGGTGGGGGGCAGCAGGGTAAGGTGCCGCAGCCACCTCACAGCGGTCAGACACGGCCTAACGTCGACCAGCGCGGGGGCCAGGCGCGCCCTGGGGCTCCCGTGAGGGCCCGACACTCTCCCAACTCCCCAGTGTGGGGGCGCGGCAGGGGGCGCTCCCCAGCCCCAGGGGCCCGCCCGCGCCCCC